AGACAGTTCTGATGATTCAGAATGAGTTTGTGTTATGGTGATACTCTTTAAGTTTTGAAGTCTTTTTGTGTTGTTGGTATCTACTCTTGGAAAAAAAGTGAGACAAAAGGCATTTATATGCTTGTATTCTAGTCTCACTTCCGTTTACTTTTGTTTCGCAGTTTTTATGTTTTCGGTTAGTTTCAGTTCTTAAGCATAATCTACCTCAGTTAACGGTTATGTTCTCTGTTTTTAATCCTTGTCTATGGTGTTTTTATCTGTTTGGCAACGATGATAAGACTACGTCTGTTTGGTTACAATGAATGGGCCTGAGCCCGTAATATAAATTGGGCCGATTACGAGAAATTACTCCGTAATTGCCGCTGCGTCTAATGATGATGATAAATCGGATAATACCGAACTTATCTAACACGAACCAAAATGTTTGAATTCAACGGGTTTATTATACTCGTCGCGAGTTTCGAAATTTTTTTCCTTTTTCAATTTGTCGTGTTCATAAGTTTAGGTTCCCAAAATTAGAAAGTCCGAAGATGAGCGTGGGTCTTAAATCGCGATTTTTGTTTCTTAGCAAATGAAATATTCATTTTTCTCTGTTCTTCGCGTAAACGGAATCTTTTTCTTTTTGCCCATCTTCTTTTGTAGATCCCAATGCCTCCCCATCACTTGTTGTCTCGTCTTTCTCACTTTCATTCCCGTTTCTTGGTTGCGTTCTGTATCGAAAACTCCATGTATTTGAGATCTCTCGCTCTGTTTTCTTGATCTACCAGAAAAAAATCCGATCTTTTGATTCATTTCCTTTGTGTCCATCACGAAGAATAGGTTCTGGTCTTTGAATCAGGCAATACACAATGGATATAAGCAACGAAGCAAACGTGGATCCGTTTTCAATAGGACCCTCGACTATAATCGGAAGAACAATTGCCTTCCGGATCTTGTTCAGCAAATCAATGTCTACATGCGGACACAAACTCTTCAGGTTCCTCATGTGTTTCCTCGGAGGAGCTAGGGTTTTTCTATCACCGTTTGTGTCTTGGTTACATCCAAGGAATCCACAAGGGATATTAGCTATGGTTATGACGATGGCTTTTCTGTTGAATCGTTACACGAGCTTAAAAGCAAAGGCTGAAATGGCTTATAGGAGAAAATTCTGGAGGAACATGATGAGAGCTGCAGTAACATACGAGGAATGGTCTCACGCCGCGAAGATGCTTGATAAAGAGACTCCGAAAATAAACGAGACTGATCTTTTCGACGTGGAGCTCGTGATGAACAAGCTTGAGGAGCTTCGGCATAGACGTCACGAGGGATCTCTTAGAGACATTATATTTTGTATGAGAGCTGATCTTGTGAGAAATCTTGGTAACATGTGTAACCCTGAGCTTCACAAGGGAAGGCTTCAAGTGCCGAGATTAATCAAAGAGTATATCGATGAGGTCTCTACACAGCTTAGGATGGTTTGTGATACGGACACTGAAGAGCTTTCTCTGGAAGAGAAACTCGCTTTTATGCACGAAACGAGACACGCCTTTGGAAGAACGGCTTTGCTTCTAAGCGGAGGAGCTTCTCTTGGTGCATTCCATCTCGGTGTGGTCAAGACGCTTGTGGAACATAAGCTCTTGCCGAGGATTATAGCCGGTTCGAGCGTAGGGTCCGTAATGTGTGCGGTTGTGGGGACAAGGTCATGGCCTGAGTTACAGAGCTTCTTTGAAGGCTCTTGGCACGCTTTGCAGTTCTTTGATCAGATGGGAGGGATTTTCACTACCGTGAAACGGGTTATGACTCAAGGCGCGGTTCATGAGATCCGGCATTTGCAATGGAAGTTGAGGAATCTCACCAACAACCTCACTTTCCAAGAAGCTTACGACATTACAGGACGGATTCTCGGGATAACAGTTTGTTCCGCGAGGAAGCACGAGCCGCCTAGATGTCTCAATTATCTGACTTCGCCTCATGTCGTGATATGGAGTGCAGTGACTGCATCTTGTGCTTTCCCAGGTCTTTTTGAGGCGCAAGAACTCATGGCCAAAGATAGAACCGGAGAGATTGTTCCTTATCACCCACCTTTTAACTTAGATCCTGAAGAGAGCTCAGGAGCATCTGCTCGGCGCTGGAGAGACGGTAGTTTGGAGATGGACTTACCAATGATACAACTCAAAGAGCTTTTCAATGTTAACCATTTCATTGTGAGTCAAGCCAACCCTCACATTGCACCCTTCTTGAGGATGAAGGAGTTTGTGAGAGCTTGTGGAGGCCGGTTTGCAGCAAAGGTATGATTCACATTTACATGATCCACAAGTCATAGACATAATATGATTCATCGCCTAATTCGATCTCTTGATCTTTCAAAGCTCGCGCAACTCTCGGAGATGGAAGTAAAGCATAGATGCAACCAAATACTAGAACTCGGGTTTCCTCTCAGAGAAGTCGCAAAGCTTTTCGCTCAAGAATGGGAAGGCGATGTCACTATCGTCATGCCAGCTACTATTTCTCAAGTAAGCAAAGCCCATTCACTGCAACAATGTATCAATGATTCCATCTTGAACAAGAAAATGCCAAGATCATTTCCACTCTAATTCTTGTTTGAGTTTGAACATCTGTGACCATATTCATACTCTATGTTCTTGTTCTGTGTGTGTTTTGGGATTCAGTACTTGAAGATCATACAAAACCCATCCAATGTAGAGATTCAAAAAGCAGCAAACCAAGGAAGGAGATGCACCTGGGAGAAACTCGCAGTCATCAAAGCAAACTTCGGAATCGAACTAGCTCTCGACGACTGCGTCGCGGTCCTTAACCACATGCGCCGCCTTAAACGCACCGCTCGAAGAGCCGCTGCTGCATCCTCCCTCTTGTCATCCTCATTGCAGCATCCCTTACCCGGAATCACCAGATTCAACGCATCCAGAAGAATCCCTTCATGGAACTGCATCGCTCGTGAGAATTCATCAGGATCCGTCGATGATGATGTGTTAGCAGAAGCTTCATCGATGTATCAGCAAATCGTGCTTGGATCCGGGAGGAATAACAGAGCTAACAACTGTAACAATTCGTACGACGGAGGAAGCGACGGAGATTCACCAGAAGCTGAAGATTGGACGAGATCTGGTGGACCATTGATGAGGACGAGTTCTGCTCAAATCTTCACGGATTACGTCCAGAATCTCGACGCCGTTGATCCCGAACAGACGGCGATTAGAAGCTCCGATAGAGATTCGGAAAGCGATTTAAACGCGGCGGATTCCTCTTCCCGGAGCATCACGGTGACGGAAGGCGATTATCTTCAGACGGGGAGAACACACAACGGAATCGTGCTGAATCTCGTCAAGGGAGAGAATTTGAGGAGGGATCAAGATCTGGAGGAGAGGCAAATCAGTGATGAAGCTCCGGAATCGGTGCAACTCGATTCGCCGGAGAAAGATATCGACGGAGGTAGCTCGGCGTCGGAAGACGGAGGTGATCAGTCAGAGATGGCGACGGAGACGGATTTAATCCACGAGTTCCAAAAGGACTAGGTTGCAAATCTTTTACAGTTCGCAATTTTGTAGAATAGTTCTTTAAATTTTCAGAATATCTTATTTTAGCCTTGAATCTTCTTGTAGATTTCAAAATTTTCACCCAAAATATTGTTTTGTCCTTTTTTAAAAAATATTTTTTGGGAGACCAACGAAAAAAGATTAATAAATGATTGATTTCACAATCCAACGAAACGATTAATCATGTTCTATTCCATTGCTATCCAGCCCAAGAATGGTTATGGGGAAGAGGTTGAGCGAAACATCACATACCTGCTGAACTTAATGGAGAAAGAGAACGTACCGGAAGCTTCTCGTATCTCTATCCCGTGGTTACTTTGGACAATATCGAAACTCGGTGTTATATGAAGGAAAACAAGAAGCGTATGCCATATTAGCACAAACGAACCAAAGAGGAAGCAAGACTATGGCATAATAATGTTAACAAGGTGAATGCGAGTCCGAACATCAATGGTTCTGCAACTTCTATTTCGTCGACTCGATGGCAAGCTCCCTCACCTAGTCTGATCAAATGCAACACTCATTCCAATTGGAGAAACGCCAATTTGCTTAGTGGAGGAGCATGGATTGGTAGATATGCTAATTAATGGTCAGGTTCAATATCATGCTCGTGATGCTTTTACGCCGTCCAGAAACAGATTCATTTCGGAGTTTCGCTGCCTCTTATGGACGATGCAGAGTGCAAGAGATCTTCATCTTCAAGATGTGACCTTTGGTTTTGATTGTAAAGCAGTGATGGAAGCAATCGAAAAACCTCAAGTTCGGCTTCGCTATAGGTTTTTTCTCTCTGAAATTCGAAGATTACAAGCTGGTTTCCGGTTCTGTGGTTTTGAACTGGAGACACCACAAGCTAATGGCATTGCTCGTGACATCGCCAAGAGATGGGCGCTTTCAATCTTATCTAGCTCCACGATCGTCTTATCCGGGAAGCTCGTAGTTAGCATCTGTACATCCTTATGATTAGGATTGTCATGTTATTTCCATTTCATGTTTTACCATAGTACAACTCTATTCTTCTCCTCTGTTTTGAGAGTGAGAGAATCCCCTTGTGGTTCTTGTTTTGATTTAATAAAAAGCACCAGACGTTAAAAAAAAGAAGAAATTATTGATTTCACACTCTCTTTCTCTCTTAAAGTTTTTGTATTATTTTGGTCCGTAGTCTCTATTGTGATCCATCCCAAATAAAATCGATGATGCCTCTTTCAAACAGAAATCGAATTAGGAAAAGTATAGTTTTCAAACATTATTATCCAATAATCGTTTGGTTTTCGAAATTACACATTTACGTATGATCGCAATTCATTTAGTAGAAAATTTATATTTTCATACCGACTACAAAAGTTACAAACTCTGATCATCTTATCTTTTTTACTACTTCGAATACAATCAAAGACTTGATGAGGTCAACATTGTAGAGGTGACATTGACACTTCCATAAATATAGGCTTTTTTGGGAGGCT